ATTATATATATTATACAGAAGTAACTCATGGTTGTTGTGATGCTGAACACTGTGACACTGATGTGCCAAATGAGATAATGGTTTCCCATGGTTGACAGTGTCTGATGGAGCTTCCCAATTAAAACAAGCCTGAAAGCAAGAGTGGCATCTACTTCTGAAATGGCTTGCCTCCGGAAACTCTATGAAATGTGCTCACTCAGGCCTCTCGTTCATAGGGTCACTATAAGTCGTCTATGACTCAATGGCACTTAACAACAACAACAACAACATATGATATAGAGATCTAATGGCTTAGTAGTAAAGAATGATGCTTTCAATGGTTTGAAACCACCAACTGTTCTACATAAAAAAAGATAATCTTCTCCCATGTGATTTAATGCCTCTGAAAATGCAATGTATGGTTAGTTATGAGTCAGTTTCAACTTGATGACACACTACAACATATATAATAAATATGAAGATGAAAATTGCCCAGGCTTTTGGCCACACCTGCTGGCTAGCATGTAACGAAGAACTAAAACCAAAGATTAGGGAATTTAGGGGCTCTAACAAATTTTGCAGTATGAAATTAACAAAACACATAATCAAGGTGCACTAATAATTGATAATTGATCTATGCCATTTATTTATCCTAGTTACTATGCCTTTTATTATCTATCTATTCTTTTTGGTTCAGTGACTTATTATATTTCTCCTATCTTCTTTTGATGTTGCTCGGATCATTCAGAATTTTAATCACGGCAACCTTTAGTATTGCAGCTCAAGGCTTGACTTTAGAAGTTTGGGCAACTGATTAGAAGAGATCCATATTTGATGTAATTCTTTATAAAAGGGTAACCCAAAACGGATATGGAAAGTACTTAACAGTATCATTAATATCATATGAAAGTATCTCGCTGGAAAAACCACTATACAACAAATAATTATTAATTTTAGTTGGAATTTGGTTAAAAGTAGACAAACTCCAGAAGATTATCTATTTGTGTTTTATTTAGTTATTTTTATTGTATGGATCATAACAAATTACAGATGACATTGAGTAGAATGGGAATCCCGGAACATTTAATGTGATTATGCAAAACCTATACCTAGGCCAATAACAATGCAATACTACAAGGTTTTAAATCAGGAAAGATGTGGCTCAGGGCTGTATCCTTTCAATTCTTTCTTCATACCTATTCAATTTTTACATAGAACAAATAATGTAAGAAGCTTGATACTTGGAAGTACAATGTAGTGTCATGATCAGTGGAAGACTCAACAACCTGGTTATGCTGATACTACACTCTTGAGTGCAGAAAATTAGGACTTGAAATATTTTCTGCAAAATATCAAAGTCTACAGACTTCAATATGGGTTACATCTCAACATCAGTCATCTGG